TCGCGTTTGTTAGGTGGGGGGTTGTTGTTGATGATGATGGTGAAGCTTGAGCTTGGGGAAGCTCAGCTGCGGTGACGCGATGGAGATGGAGCTTTTGGCGAGAGGTGGCGTTGAAACAAGGCTTGCCAGCGGCCTGGAACCCTGTCAATATGGCAGTTCTTGGCACGATGCCAAGTGCGAATGACGGCGACGACCAAACAAGTTCGGTGAAGGTTGCTGCAGTTGCGTGTGACAAATCAGGTCGACGTTGAAAGGCATTGTCGCTTGTAGAATTTGACAAAATACAGCAAATTACCTAGGTACACAAAACTTGAACGCTTTCAAGCTGTTTGACCCCAAATCCCAACCGTCCCCTTTTGGGAATAACGCCATCATTCAAATCCCCTCCCATTGCTGTCCTGAAAGGCCACCGCTTGAATCTGCCTGCCAGAGATTGGCCCCTTTTGAGCGCCCTTATGAACATGTCAAGCCATGGAAACTATATAATCCCCAGAGACCACTACAATTCCGCATCAACCTCCTTCTCCAGCTTGGCTGGTATACACGACCATGAGCAGCCCACCATCAGAAACGGCACGGAGAGCTCCTCACCAGCGCCGCCCAGCTCGCTGAAATTCTCCACCTCCTCCCCATCCTCACCCACCGTGACCGTTGTACGCCCAATGCGTCGAGAATTCGATCCACTGGGCCATGGGGATCAAAGTGTCTCGGCCACAAACAGCACACCTTACACCACCGTCGCGATGGATCTTGACGGCCTGCTCCACGGCAAAAGAAAAATGCGGCGGGGCTTCGTCGGCGTAAAGAGCCCAGGACCGGACCTCCTCGACTTGTGACGACTTGATACCAGCTCGCAGAGCGAGCTCAAACAACGACCGGGCGCCCTTGGGGTTGTAGACCTTGCTGGTGGAAAGGGCTAGCTTGCGCTGCTCGGTGGTGAACTCCTTCGGGGTGGCGAGGGATGTCAACGGCTCCAGCTCGATGAGAGCCCCCCGCGCACCGGGGAGGTCCGGGAGGGAAAAGCGGGAGAGGGTTTGGCCTGTGCCAGTCATAAACTGGACAGGGCTCCGCGAGTGGAGCTTGGTAGTCACGCCTGACCAGGAGGACTCGACCTTGGTAGTGGAGCGCTTGGGGTAGGTCAGGTTGTCGTATTCGTCGCTACGTGTTGTGGTGGTGGAAATGGCGGCAGCAGTGGCGTTGGCCGTATCGGGCTGCCAGAACCGGTTGGGCTGGAAACTCAAGCTGCGTAGTTTGCTGCCGGGGCGGAGAAGATTCAGTAACTCGGCGGGGAAGACGCGGATGAAGTTCTGGCCGAGGTTGAGGGCCTCGAGTTTTGTCAACCTCCCGACTGCCGGCGGGATCTCGTCGAGATTGTTCGCCCTCAAGCTGAGCAAGGCCAAGTGTTCGATGGTAAGAATCCCGGAGGGGAAGCTCCGAAGGCGGTTCATAGATAGGAACAGCTGGATCTCAGGATCCCTCTGCTCAAAGGCAACGTCCCTGGAAACATTGGGAATGGGAGAGATGTCGGAGATGAGCTTCACTACCTCTGGCGAAATGAAATCTAGGTTTAACGAACTAAGTAAAATGTTAGTCTTCAGAGGCAAACGACTCTGGTGGCGCCCTGCCGCTGCTGCTGCTCTCCGCCCAAAGCTATGATGTCGGTCTAACCATCATGCAGACGGCTGAGACACGGTTATACAGCGACGCGGCTACCAGGCAGAGAGACAACCAGCGACCCAAGACTCGGGGCAGAATGGACACTCACCTTAGATCAACTTGCTCGGTACCACCTTCGACACAGCCGCTGACAACCCATTGGGCTTCCAGCTCCTCTCTCGAGACGGTCGACGGGGCAGACATTGAACCTCTCGCTCGCGGCGACGCAACAGGGAATTTGGGTGCAGCGGGCTCTATCTCGAAGCTGTCGTCCGTATCGGTGATGGAATCCTCAGCTCCCATCCAGACACCGCTGTCGAGTTGTCGTCGGAATTCTCGCTTTTGGGGTTGTGGAGGCCCGTTGCGTCGAGGTGGAGGGTACCTTGGGAGGGGTTCTTCTCCCACTGCAGAATCTGACGAGGCCGGCTGCTGGTCAAACCAAGTGCCAACGTACCGCTTCTTGCGGCGTCCATTGTGGTTGTAATTGTCTAGCGCCGGATCGTCGTCACTGGAGAAGAAAGCCGGATCGCTCGAGGCGGAGGATTGCGTATGAGGAGAGTTTGTGATCCGCCTTCGTTTCCTTCTGGCGTCGACTGGAAGCGAAGGCGGGAGGGTGGGAAGTGCAGGTTCGTCTGCCATTGCTTCCCGCATTTTTCTTGATTTTTGCTAATGCGTTACAATATCCAGTGTCCTAGAGGCCAACGGAAGGCAAGGGGTATGAGGGGTGCGAGAGCTGCGAGAGCTGCGAGATTCAAGGTAGGTAGGAAGTTGTGTGTGAGAAGAGTGAGAGAGGATGTGAGATGCCTCACGGTCACACGCAAATAAATCCAGAACTACCACATGACCAGAGATTATGCGCACGGGCAAGGAAACCGGCCGCGAGATGACGAAGCAGATGCCAAAGTTAGGTGCCTTAGATAATGAAGCCGGGCAGATAAGGTTCTTTAGCGAGGCCGGGCAGATATTGAAGCAAGGAATGCCAGGCTGTAAGCATATGCACAATGAAACAATGGAAGCAGGGTTGACGCGGTCCAGGAAGAAAGGAGGGGGAAAAGTCAAAATGGTCTTCGCATCTGAGGGACACCAAAGTCGCGTCAGTCGCGTCTCCCACAACTGGGGGGTCAACATCGCGGCGAGGCCCCACCAAGTCGATCTTGGCTTCCCCGGAAGCACTCCGACCCCCCGGTTGGCTCAGGCGCACATGACAAGCCAGGGCTCAAAGTGAGATCAAGAAAAACAGGATAATCCGACCCCAAAATAAAATAGTATTGCTCAATAGAATAATTCAAAGCCCGCCCGGCCGTCCTGACGTTCAATTGGGTTTTCAAGCTGTTGCAGAGCAGTTCTGGATTTGTGGAAATCTCCAAACAGCTCTCCTCAATTGACGATTGCCAAGTGCCCCTCACGTGCTCCTGCCCGATGCATTTGCCCGGTTCACGAGCCCCAGCACACCCCGGAGACCCACCTGATGGGCCCACCAATATCTCGGCGCTTCGGAGCCCTGACGCCGACATCATTGCTTCCCATTGGTGCTTCCGTTTTGTCCCTCCCTCTCGACCACAGCATCGCACTTTGCATTTCGCCTCTCCTGACTTTCCGAAGGCAGAATTAGGTCTCTGCATTTACATGGATGTGATGGCTCTCAATCACCCAACCCATGATCGGGCTATTTTCAGTCACGCACAATGCCTCACAAGGCAACAACACCACAACACCTTTCGTGGGAACGGTAGGGCTGTTGTTCTCTTCTCAGGCCCGACGTCACCAAACTTGCATGCGGAACACTGAGTTTAACGGTTCAATGTTTGATCCCCTCTAACTATTTAAGACCAAGTTACCCAGTTGCTTCAGGATCAATTTGTGAACCATCTTGGGGACGCAGGCGAGAAAGAGGGCGGACTCGATGGCTGTAAAAAGCTAAAACCTGCGGCAGTGAAAACGAACCGAGTGAAATGAATTCATGATGGCCAGCAAAAGAAAAGACCAGTCCTTCGCTCCCTGTCCCCATGCGTCCCAAACACCAAAAACGCCCGTTTCCATAGTATGTCTATGTATGGATATGCCCTCCCGTGTATCCGTAGCTTCTGCAATGCTCGAAAATACCAAACGCCCCTCACTTGGCGGGCATGGGCGACGAAAACTTGTCAGCCAGTTCCATAAGCACCAACTCCTCCTCGCGGTTCAGTCCGTCGTCGTTGGCTTCATTGGCGGCCTCCTCGGCGAGCCGGACCAGGTCCATCTCATCGTCAAAACCAAACTCGTCGAACTTGGTGATCTTGGCCGGCTTGGGGGGGTTGCTAAAACTGGCGGGCTTGCTGCGTTTGATGGGCTGGGGGGTTTCGTCGTCGTCGTCCAGGATGAAGATAGGGGCATAGGCACCCACCGCACTACCACCGGGCGGGCCGCGGGGCATGCTGGTGAACTCGCCGTCGTCGGTCAGATCGACAACAATCTTCTTCTTGGGCTTGGCGTTGGGAACAACCATGACGGCGGCGGCGTACGGGTTGGCCATGGCCCTGGCTCGTTCTTTGGCCGCCCACTCGTCCATCTCTTTCCTCTCGCGCGCGATCTCCCGAGCCGACTTCTTCTTTAACTTCCTGATCTCCTCTCTGGCCTTGGCAACCGCGGAGAGTAATAGCACCAGTACCACCACGGCGGGTC